TCATCTCCCTTATTTAAAAAAACAAATTAGTTAGAGTTAAAAAAAAAAAAAAAAAAAAAACCCACAAAACTTAAAACTGCGACGCTAACAATTGCCAGAGCTGATGTGGCTTGTGGATGGATGAACCCAAGTAAAAGATTCTACAGCTGAACAGATTAATATGCAAGTCAGAAGAGATTCCAGAACTGGTCTCAAATAGTTGAATGTCTTTTCAGTAGAATGAACAGCACCAAAAACATCCTAAAAATAAGGACAGATTTTACTCGAGATGATTACAGACATGCAGGAAGCATATCTGCCAAGTGTCATTTTCATGCAGTCCTTTTCCTGACCATTATTATGCTGAAAAGGCCTCCAATTTAAAAATACAATGTGTACGAAGCGTGCTGAAGAAGAAAGGCATGTTCTTACCATTGCTCTATTAAGGGGGACATTAAGTTCCTTAAGTACCCCTAATGATCAGTACTCTCATAAAACCTTATTTCTTTGATCCCTACAAACCTGTCTAAAACTAGGTCAGCAAGCAACAAACAGGTGATCCTGCCTTCAGCCAGTCATCTCCATACTCTCTCTCCTGGCAACTCTAACATAAGCAACATGCTGTACTTTTTGTTAGTATAAATAAGGCGTTTGTGACTAGGAAATAATACTTTATGACCTCATTAAAAAACACGAAGAAGTTACGGTCCCTTATAATCATGAAATTCTCCAACAAATGCAAAAAGAAACTACTGTATTCTCTCATATATAACTTAAACCTTCCTCCCTACACCACATTCCCAAAACCACGTGGTGAAAATCATGATGAGTGTTATACACGAGAAAAAAAAAGATCCCCACAGGTTTGGAAATTTGGCAGCAGGGGAGAAGGGTTAGGAGAGTCATGACAATTAAATGTTGCTACTGCTCCCCCTGACAAGTTTCCAGCCTGTGAGGAGCGCCCAGATGGACGACCCATGCACTGCCCCGGACCCAGCACACGGGATCGATCTGCAGGCTCCATTCTGCATATGGGACTGTTAGCAGGCTTAGCTTCCTTGCTGCTGTGACTTAGTTTCTACCAAGATTTTTTCTTCTTCAAGCTTCCTTTGAAAAAAAACAAGATTTGTATTACATATAGGGGCATGCTATATGCAAGAGCATACGGTACACTGCACATGTTCTGAAATATGCATATTTGTCAGACCCATGCTTCATGGCGGGTGTCAGACCCAGGCACCACAATTAGACTTAGCTAAACTCTTTTGGCCAAACAAGACTCATCCTGTTTGCTAAGCCTGTGTAGGCAGTCAAACCGCATTCAAGACTAGCATTTTAGTCCAGGTAGCTATGTGGGCTGATAAATGATGTTGGAGCAGTATTTAACTCCATCCAGTTGTCTAGCTGATCACAAAATTGAGTACATGTATAATCTTATGTATGTAGGGCCCGTGACACGGGGACCTAAAATTGCCATCTAGCACAACTGTCAGATGTATTTAAGACAGAGCCATGTTTAAACCTGTCTAGCCTGGTTTGACTATTTAATCGGGATAACTTGATATAAAAAAGCCACTCGCATAAATAACTGCGTAGACACTGCTCCTGCCAGACAAGTCATTTCCCGCCAGTACTGAAACCACAGCAAGTGCTTTGTCACAATACATCTGGCTGTTATAGTGCCTAAAAATATTCAAACTTCTTGCCCTTTCACCTCTTCCCCCCCCCACTTTCTCACTGATCAACTTAAGGCAGTAGCAATACAGAAAATGCTGGGGCAGGCATCACTCCCAACTACTAGTATTGTAAAGTTGTAACAGCTGGAAATTGTGAGGAACATATGCAGGATAATCTTAAAAAAAGACAGGAGTGAGTGAGATAATGTGTGTGTGTGTTTTTCTAAAGTGCCTAACATTGAGATCCAAAGAAATTAATTTAAATTCTGTCACTGGATGCTGAAGCATCCTTATCCACATAAAAAGCACCATAAAGTTGATACTTATGTCCAATTTGAGTTAAAACTACTCCCACAACTGGAACAGTTTGGCACAAGCTAAAATTAAGTTGGGAATACGAGAAGGAGATATTGCATCACCCGAAGACTAAAAGCAAATTAAAAACCAGTGAAAGTAGGTGTCATGCAAATTAGAGCACAGGGTGAGTTCAGCTATTAGAACTGTTGTCTCTCTTTGCAGTTCGATTCCTGCAAAAATATTTCATTTATAACATTTAATACCCATTTAGAACCCAAACCTCTTTCCTCCTAACCAGATCTACAATCAAGCACTTACCGAATTGTCTCAATGATTTCATGAGCAGCATCATGGTGTTTGTCCTGAAAGCAAAGACAGACAGAGAGGTTGTTTCAGAGAGGCATCTGGAGAACAGCATTCATGTTAATCGCTGAAAATTACAGGACTTGTATTTTTAAAAAGATCATGAGTGAAAAATGCAGAAGGGAAGGAGTGCTTAATTGCCATAAAGCACAGTTAACATAATCAGAATAAAGTATTTCTTCCATTTGCATCATTTACATTTAAGAAAAGATTTATTTGAGTTTCTTACAAACTAGTAGTAGGCTTATAAACACACAAACAAACATTAAAAGAAAAAAAAAAAAAGGAAGAATGAAAAAAGAAAGACCTTCCTTCCACTTATGTCACTGTCACTTCCCAAAACAAGAAATTCTGTAACTGATACCCTCAAAGAAAACTGGTATGAAGTGGGTGTTTGAATTCAAGTTCCATAATGAACAGCTGATTTCATCGACTGAGCATCTGCCCCACGGTCACATATCCATGTGGGCAATACAACTTTGGATGGGCAAATGGCTTTTTAAAACTATCAACTACACAATAAGAATGCATTATATTAGTGCTAAAAACTGGCAACGTCAAAAACAAAAGACAGACACCACTACATGAAAGGTTTTTCCATGAAAAAGCACATAACATTCTGTCCATACACACAGGACTGTGCATCATAAAAGTCTTATTGGCATGACGTTGAGATGTCACTTCTCTCAAGCAGGGAAAAACCACTTGAGAGGTTTTGCAGGGCATTCCATAAGGTTCAGCATCCAGCCCCTGAAGAGACCAGATCCAGCCCATCATACCACAGCAGGGTGAATCAGCAGCCCCTTCCA